GAGACTTTAAAGAAAGAAATTCAAGAAGATACAACAAAATGGAAAGATCTCCCATGCTCTTGGATAGGTAGAATTAACATAGTAAAAATGGCAATCCTGCCAAAAGCAATCTACAGATTCAATGCAATCCCCATCAAAGTCCCATTACAGTTTTTCACAGACATTGAAAGAACAATACTCAACTTTATATGGAAAAATAAAAAACCCAGGATAGCCAAAACAACTCTTTACAATAAAGGATCTTCTGGAGGCATCACCATCCCCAACTTCAAGTTCTACTATAGAGCCATAGTTCTGAAAACAGCTTGGTATTGGCACAAAAATAGACTGATAGACCAATGGAATCGAATTGAAAACCCTGATATTGACCCAGGCACCTACAAATACCTTATTTTTGACAATGGTGCTAAATCTATACAATGGAAAAAAGATAGCATCTTCAACACATGGTGCTGGTACAATTGGATTCGGACATGCAGAAAATTGCAGATAGATCCATACCTGTCCCCATGCACGAAACTTAAGTGCAAATGGATCAAAGATCTCTCCATAATTCAGCCACACTTTTGAATCTTCTAGAAGAGAAAGTGGGAATTACCCTTGAACTAATTGGCACAGGAGACCACTTCCTGAACATTACGCCAGTAGCACAGACATTGAGGTCTGCAATTAATAAATGGGACCTCCTGAGGAAACAGTCAGTAGGAGAAAACGACCACCCACCGAATGGGAAAAGATCTTCACCGATCCCACATCTGGCAGAGGACTGATTTCCAAAATATACAAGGAGCTCACAAGGTTTCTGCTTTTGGTTTCGCTTTCGGCTTGCTATACAGACTGTTGCCCACTGGCTGGCTAGGTTGCTCTGTAAGTAAGGCTTTTTCCCTATTAAAATCCCTTGTATTCCTACCTGGCTCCGTATTGGTAATTTACCGCATTAGCCCTTTCATGATAAAAATCCTGGAGAGGTTATGGAGACAAGGAACATACCTGAACATAGTAAACACAATTTACAGCAAGCTGACAGCTAACATCAAATTAAATGGAGAGAAACTAAAAGCAATTCCACTAAAGCCAGGAACAATACAAAGCTGTCCACTCTCTCCATACCTATTCACTATAGTACTTAAAGTAGCTAGAGCAAAAAGACTACTGAAGGAGATCAAGGGGATACAAATTGGAAAAGAAGAAGTCAAGATATCATTATTTGCAGATAATATTATAGTATATATTAGTGACCCTAAAAATTCCTGGGGAGCTCCTACAGCTAATAAATACTTTCAGCAAAGTAGTTGTATACAAAATTAACTCATAAAAATTAATAGCCCTCCTATATAAAAATGACTAACAGACTGAGAAAAAATCAGAGAAACAACACCCTTCACAATAGCCTCAACTAATACAAAATATCATGGGATAACTCTAACCATGGGTCAGTATGATTAACATAGTAAAAATAGCCATCCTACTGAAAGCAATCTACAGATTCAATGCAATCCCCATCAGAATTCCAACACAATTCTTTACAGATCTTGAAAGAACAATACCCAACTTCATATGGAAAAAAGAAAACCAGGATAGTTAAAAACAATCCAGACCAATAAAACAACTTTCAGAGATATCACAATTCCTGATTTCAAGCTCTACTACAGAGCTACAGTAATAAAAACCTACATGGTATTGGCATTAAAAAGGCACACTGATCAATGGAATTGAATCAAAGACCCAGACATAAATCCACACACTTATGGACACTTGACTTTTGATAATTGTCTTAGTCAGGGTTTCTATTGCTGTGATGAAACACCATGGCCAAAAAGCAAGTTGGGGAGGAAATGGTTTGTTTATTTGGCTTATACTTCAGTATCACTGTTCATCATTTAAGGAAGTCAGGACAGGAACTCAAACAGAGCAGGATCTGGGAGGCAGGAGCTGATGCAGAAGTCATGGAGGGCGCTACTTACTGGCTTGCTACAAATTGCTTGCTCAGCCCACCTTCTTATAAAACCAGGACCAGTAGCCCAGGGATGGCACCACTCACCATGGGCTAGGCCCTCTCACACTGCCTTACAGCTGGATCTCATGGAGTCATTTCCTCAACCGAGGTTCCTTCCTCTCTAATGACTCTAGCTTGTGTCAAGTTGACACACAAAATCAGCCAGTACAATAAAGAAGCCAAAATTATACAATGGGAAAAAGAAAACATCTTCAACAAATGGTGCTGGTCTAACTGGATGTCTGCATGTAGAAGAATGCAAATAGATCCCTATCTTTCACCCTGCACAAAACTCAAGTCCAAGTGAATCAAAGATCTCAACAGACCAAAACCAGATCCACTGGACCTTATAGAAGAGAAGGTGGAGAGGAACCTTGAATTAATTGGCACAGGGGAAGCTTCCTGAACAGAACATTGTTGTGCTGACTAGTCTTGTGTCAACGTCACACAAACTAGATTTATATGAGAGGAGAGAACCTCAATAGGAAAAATGCCTCTATAAGATCAGGCTGCACATACCCCTGTAGGGTATTTTCATAATTAGTGATTGATGGGGGAGGGCACAGCCCATTGTGAATATGACCATCCCTGGACTGGTGGTCCTGGGTTCTATAAGAAGGCAGGCTGAGCAATCCATTAAGCAGCACCCTCTATGGCCTCTGCATCAGCTCCTGCCTCCAGGTTCCTGTCCTACTTGAGTTCCTGTCCTGACTCCCTTCGATGATGAGCAGTAATGTGGAAGTGTAAGCTAAATAAACCCTTCCCTCCCCAACTTGTGCTTTGGTCAAGTTGGTGTTTCATTGCAGCAATACAAACCCTGACTAGGACAATTTTTAACACAGGTACTAAGATCAGCAATTAATAAATGGGACCTCATTAAACTGAAAAGCTTCTCAGCATTCACAGGGCCTGTACAGTGATGGGGGATGTCCTTCTTGTATATATGCTTCTCTTATTGGTTGATTTATAAAACACTGTTTGGCCAATGAGGCAGGAAAATAGGCAGGACTAGAAAACGGGGAGAATTCTGGGAAAGGTAGGCAGAAGGAGCCTGCCAAAGACAGTCGCCATGTAGCCCACCGGGAAGATAGGATGCACCAGGTGTTTTCCGGTAAGATAAGACCACATGGAAATACTTACATTAATAAAATGGGTTAATAAGACAGGGCTAGCCAGTAAGAAGCCCTAACTATTGGCCAACAGTTTAATAATTAACATAGCATCCGTGTGTTTATTTGGGGCTGAGAAGGGCGGCGGGACCTGGAGGGATCGTACAGGTCTGCACCAGGTCTTCTGCCTACACATCATGGATTCCAGGTTACTGTCTTTATGAGATTCCTGAGTGTGAGAACAAGTGGGCCTCTGCCTTTGAACTGTCTTTTGGGCTCTTCTCCTTCTGTTTGTCTTATCCAACTCTGACATGTTAGTTTTCATTTTTTATTATCGTATTTTATGTTGTTGGCACCCCTCAGAAGCCTGTTCTTTTCTAATGAGAGACAGAAAAGGGGTGTGTCCAGGAGAGGACGTGGGGAGGGACTAGGAGTAGGGGAAACCATAATCAGGATATATTATGAGAAAAAAATCTGTTTTCAATAAAAAATAAAGAAATTATTTTATTATTTTCTTTTTTAAGTGTGTGGGGTTAGGAGGGTTGTAGGTGCATGTAAAAATGCAGTGCCTGTAGAGGCCAGAAGGGGGCAGAAGATACCCCTGGAGGTGGCGTTACAGGCAGTCCGGAGGCAGTCAACATGGGTTGCCATGTACTCTAGCCACTGTGCCATCTCTCCAGGCCTGCTTTGTTTTTTAAATAAAGAATCTCTCTCTCTCTAGGGGCTTGAGAGAAGGGTGTCATTAGCACATCTCTCCAAAACATGAGACCCTAAGTTTGGATCCCCAGGAGCAATGATGTAATGCCAGCAATGGAAGGCAGAGACTAGAGGATGCCTGTAAGCCAACAGCCATCTGCACTGGCCTACTTGGTGGACTTCAGGCCAATGAGAGACCTTCTCTCAAACAAAGAGTGGAAAGCATCTAAGGATTGACACTCAAGGTTACCCTCTGACCTCCACATGCAGGCACATGAACTCTCACGGATTTGTACACAAGAGTCACTCGAGCCCGGGCTGATCTCACACTCACGGGATAGGATCCTACCTCAGCCTCCCCAGTGCTGGTGTCACAGGTGTGTGCCCCACACCCACTGTGCTTGCTAATCTCAATTCTTTACCAGTCTGACAGGCAGACATTGGTTCCTGGTGGAGGCCCAGCTTAGCTGCTGGCTGGCCAAGCAGAGCCCTACTGTGCTCCAAACATGAAGTTACTTTCTCACTGGGGCCTTCTGACTGTAATGGACCAGCTAGTTCCTATAGGAACCTGGCGTACAGGACACTGGCTGGGAGACTCTGGCAGGCAGGCATTTAACCAAAAGGATCCCCATGAAAATATGGAAAAGCAGGCTGTGTCAGTCACTGAACACACAGCTACCAAGTACTGCAGCACCCAGCATGCTCCCTAGACTGGGCTGATGGCTCTCAGTGTCTGCCAATGGCATCTGGGGTCATGGTGACCCAGTCCTGACCCAGCCTCTAGTGAAAGAAAGGAAATGGGAGTGCCCCTAACTGCCCTCCTCCATGCTCTCTGACCCAAGGACCTAAGGAGCCTGCCCATTCCCAGAAAGACACACCTTGTCCTGGGATACAGCCCTCCTGATGCCTCTAGGAGACTGGCAAGGCACCCTGGGAGCCTCCTCGGGCATTTGGTAACATGGTTCACAAAGGGTCTCTGTGTTCTAAAGTGGACCCGGCAGAAGCATCCAATACACACCCAGGAAGGCCACAGTGGCTATAAGGCCTCCATTTTGGCCTGTTATACAGAACACCCAGGCCAGCTCTCATCCCCTAAGTCAATACTAAAACTGGGCAGGTCCAACACAGGGCACTGGGAAACAGGCAATGCAGCAGAGCCCTGTCACCAGGAGAGCATAAAAATCAACACTCGGGACAGAAACGTTTGGTACAAAGTTTATAACTCACCCTCCCATGAAAAAGCAACTTTAAGTGTTCTGAAATAGATGGGAATGGCAGACCCAGGACCCACTTCCAAAGCCTGGCTACATATCTGGTCCATGTGGGCAGAGTAGAGGCAGGACTGGACATCAAATTGAGGGAGGGCTTGGAGGCCTCGAGCAGGAATCTTCTACAGGCTTGAGAACAGGATTCAGACCCAAAGCCACGTGTGACCTTTCAGGCAACCCGGGCAGACCAAGGGTTAGTAGCCTTTTTTTACACTTGTGATCCCTGCCCCAAGCCCAGGCCAACTGCCCCACGCAGACAAAGGGCTCATCGTCTGCAGGTCTGTCAGGGAGGGTGCTGACTTCATGTGCTGTCTCAGACCCGACCATTCCTGGGGCCATACAGGGATGACCCTCCTCGGAAAGCCCTTGGTGGAGGGAGACAGCTCTCAGAGCAGGGCCTCATCTTTTACAGGCCATGTGTTTACATATGTTTACATATGTTTACAGGCATATGTTCCTGGAGCACACACAGTGCATATATATGTCCCTGAATGGACCCTGTCCATACTCAGGGCTAGCCAGGCACCCAAGACTCTAGTCAATGGTCACCAGCCGGGACCCTGGGGCAGCTCCAAAGCCAGTAGTGCCTGACCAGGGCCAAGGGGCCAACACATGACTGGCCCACAGGTGGCTTCCCAGCTTCCAAAGCAGGAAGAGACTGGGTACTCATAGTGGCTAAGATCCATCGCCGAGAGTCAGTGTCAGTGACAGACTGGGCTTGCGCTGGGGTTCCTCATCCTCCTGGCAGGACTGGGGCGGCCGGGATTTGAAGAAGTCTGAGACATATCGGACCTGTGGGGGAGGGGAAGACAGTGAGTGAAGCCAGAGGATGACGACCAGAGGGAAAGCCAAGAGGGTTGGTTGTAAAGTAGGTGGGGCCAGTGGTGGGGAAAGCTGGGGGCGGGGCAGACCAGCAGGCAGAGGTCACAGGAACACTGGGGTCAGGCAGAACAGGTCTTATAGGACGAGGCAGGCAGGGCTCACCGTGAGGCAGGCCACCAAGGCTCCTTGCAGGAGGCCGACGAGGACATCACTCCAGTGGTGCTTGTGGTCAGACACTCGGGTGTAGCCCACATAGATTGCAAAGGCCACCAAGAAGAACTGAACCGTGGGCCTCAGCAGCCGTGCCCACTTCCAGCAGAGCCGGGCCTGCACATACAGCTGTCGGGGCATCAGCCTGCATCAGCTGGGCCCGTGGGTGTCCACACCCTACCCAGCCCAGCTCAAGAGTCATAAACCCCCCTACCCTCAGTGTCTCATCCACATATCCCATTGTGCAGTGGGGAAGACCCAGGGAAGGGGTGCCTGAGTTAGGTTCCCCGGGAAGGAGGTAGACACTCACCGCCAGGAACAGCATGCAGTACATGCCAAAGGAGGAGTGCCCGGAGTAAAAGGACAGCCTGGGAGGGAGGACAGCCGGTCAGCGGTACCCGGAAGGCAGAGCCAGGAGCTCCTTGGGGAGCAGCCACAGAGGGGTGCAACTCTAAACTATGGGAAGCAGGGCTAGAGAAATGGCTCTGCTGTTAAGGCCCTGACTGATTTTGCAGAGGACCCAAGTTCAGTTCCCAGTACCTACATCCTGCTGCTCACAACTACCAGGAGATCTGATGCCTCTGAAGGCACCTGCACTCATGTGCCAGAGCATACACACACACACTAAAAATACATCATCTTTAAGATCTACTTATTTGCTGGGCATTGGTGGTACACGCCTTTAATCCCAGCATTCAGGAGGCAGAGGCAGGTGGATCTCTGTGAGTTCGAGACCAGCCTGGTCTACAAGAGCGAGTTCCAGGACAGCCTCCAAAGCCACAGAGAAACCCTGTCTCAAAAATAAAAAATAAAAAAAAATTCTACTTATTTTTATTTTTATGTATATGGTGTTTTGTTTCCAGCTATGTCTATGTACCACATATATGCAGTGCCTACCAGTGGTCAGAAGGGGGCATCGGAAGTTACAAATGGCTGTGAGCTGCCTTGGGGGTTCTGAGAATCTAACCCAGGTCCTCCGGAAGAGAAGCCAGTGGTCTTAACCGCTGAGCCCTCTCTCCAGCCTCTTAACCTGAAGGGAGGCTTGCACACAGGACTTTCCATCAGGGAGGGGACGTCTCATTTCCTCACTCTCACTTCACCAACTCCAACCCCCACCTGCTCCTGGAGCAGGCATGGCCAGCAGGACCACATTGTGGGTGGCAGTCACCCAATACTGCCACTGTCACCCAATGCCATCATGGCCACTGATGTGACAACAGGTGGTCCGAGTACTGACCATCACCTCACCTTACAAAGATATTAGTCTCCACTGCCTCAGAGCTTGAGCAGCAGCCCACAAGCTATGCCTGGGAGGTTCAGAAGGGACAAGCATCCTCAGAGCACCCACAGAGCCACTTCATAATCTTGGCAGACAAAATAAGGCTAAAGCTAGCTCCACCCCTAGCTCCACCCCAGGACCCAGAAAACAAAAGAGAAATGGATGTCCAATCCTGCTGACCATAGACCCTCACAACAGCATGGCTGTCCACTAAATAAACAGTGACCACACTGTCCATTCTCCCCTGTAACTCGGTGTTAGAGAGACTTGTATGCATGCAGAGGAAACGTGTACGCACACACACACACACGCACACACACACACACACACACACACACACACACACACACACACCATGGCTAATAAACAGAAGTTGTCTAAGGACCTGGGAAGATGGTTAGTAAGTAATGTGTCTGCTTTGCAAGCATGAGAATCTGAGTTCCATCCCTAACACTCGTGTAAAAAGGGAGGTGTGTGCTGCAGCCCATAGTGTGTGGCACATGGGACTGGGGTGCTGAAAACAAAAGGATCTCTGGATCTCTGGATCTTGTTGGCCAGTCTAGAACTGCACAGCTCCAGGTTCAGTGAGAGGCCTTGTCTTAAAAATAAATGTGGAGAGGGACTGGAGTTGTGGCTCTGGGGTTAACAGCACTTACTGCCCTTGCAGAGGACCAGGGTTCAGTTCCCAGACCCACATAGCAGCTCACAACCACTTGGAACTCCAGTTCACAGGGATCTCGTGCCCTCTTCAGACCTCCATGGGCTCCTGCACAAATGTAGTGTATATACACACATGCAGGAAAACACGTATACACACAATTACATATATACGGTGGAGAGCAATTGAGGAGGAGAACACTTCCATTGACTGACTATTGGTCCTCACACGTATGTGGACACAAACACACACACATGAAGCAGTCCATGAGGAGACACAAGCACCAAGCTTAGGGACAGACACTGCAACCAGTCACTGGAAATATCCAGAGATGAGAACATCTGTGAGACAGAAGGAACAGAAGCCAAGAAGACATCCTATGCTGGTCATGGGGACACAAGTCTGTCACCCCAGCACTCAAGAGACTGAGGCAGGAAGATGAGACGTTTGAGGTCATTCTGGGCTACACAGTGAAATCCTGCCTCAAAAATCTAAAATTGCATCATGGATGTGGAAATGTCATTAGTACTGAGAGTGAAAAGGCACTGGAAGGCCTGACAGCTGATCAGAGCCAACGGAGAGAGGAGTGGAGATTACAGAGCCAGGGTGTGAGACACATAGGCCATACCAAGCTTGAACAGCAGGGCTTAGAAGAGCAGGACCAGCAGGGAAATGGTGCTGCCAGCAAATAAGCTCACCACAAAGGACCCTGAAGAGGCAATAGCAGTCACAGTAGATCCCTCAGTACTTGCCTCAAGGGGCAGAAGGCAGTCGCCCAACCTCTTCAGGGCAAGCCACTTCCTCCCAGACAAATGAACCCTGCCCACTTAATTACCTGCCCTGCCAAAGACACAGAAGAAGACCCATGGCCACCTCCCCTGCCTGCCTACTAGACAGGTTTTCTCCATTCACCAAGCTCCAGACTTCTCCTTCCTCAGAGCCTTGCCTGGGCTTCAGCTGGTACCCACCTGGCCTCAGTGACATTGGCAGGGCTGCCTCTGCACACCTCCAGCTGCACATAGCCGGAACAGTTGACCCGGCTCCAGTCGGGGTCACAGACAGCCAAGAAGCTGGGTCGCAGACGGCCAATCATGTACTTGGCCAGGTCAGTCAGAGACTGGCTCACAGCGGCCCCAAACAGGAAGGTCCCCAGCACCTTGTAGATGGCAGCCACATAGTTGTTGAAGTCAGAGCGTGAATAGAGACGCTCTGTGTACACCAGGTAGGCCTCCCCCGATGAGACCTGCCAATGGAACAGGTTACAGAGCACTGGGCAGACACTGCTCCCTCCGTACCCATCGGTTGGGGAGCTGAGCCCTACATACCTCAGGGCAGAGCTGACCCAGCCCCCACCCAAGCACTTTTGTGCCTTACAAGGATGACAGTGGCTGTGATGATGACCCCGGCCATGAGTCCATGGGTGATTGTGTCTGGACGGTACGGGTACCGGATGGAGTCATCGCCGCAGTAAAACCCTCGTTTGTATGGTGTGTTCACCAGGGTCAGGATGATGAAGGGCAGAGAGGCTGTGGGAAGCCAAGGAAGGTACATGGTTCTCCACAGAGCAAATCCCTACCCACGTGTTATCTGCTCTAGTATCATGGCCGCTTCGCCATGACCCCACTGGAAACACTCCAGTGCCCTTTTTTCTTTTCATTCAGCCACAGTTCTCCCTCTCAACTCTGCTCCCCCCACCACCTCCCTCCCCAGCCCACCCCAATCCACTCCTTCTCATGGGTAAGGGCATGAGAAGTCAACAAACCCCAATTGCCATCATAGGGCCTTCAACCTGTAATTGATGGAACCCAGACCCAGAGATCCACAACCAAGCAGCAGGCTGAGCTCTGGGAATCCAGTTGAAGAGAGGGAGGAGGGAATATATGAGCAAGGGAGGTCAAGATCATGGTGGAGAAATCTACAGAGACAGCTGAACCAAGCTCATGGAAACTCATGAACTCCAGACTGTACTAGGCCCTTGGTATGTGGGCGACAGTTGTGAACCTTAGACTAGCTAAGGGGCCCCTGGCATAGGACCGTGATACAAACCTGGTACATGAGCTGGCTTGTTGGAGCCCAGCCATTGAGCAGCTCTACCCTGATGTGCTCTGGCCTCACTTCAGGCCTCCCTAGAGCTGACTCAGCACCAGGGACCAAAGCCTCTACACACACACACACAAACACACACACACACTGCAAGCACAGTGACTCCCTCCCATCTCATTCCAGCACCCTCCTGATGAGCCACCCATGGATGGGGTCACTGTTGCTATTCATAGCTCCTATCCTGTGTAGAACCACATAGTCACCTTAGTGACAGTTAGTTGGACTGTCCCATCTGCATAGGAACACCAAGGGACCTTCTGTGTTCGGGGTGGGGCCCTGGAGACTGCTCACTGCCTGGGAAGGTAAGATCATCTAGTGACACAGAGTTAGACTGGAGGGCTGTCTCCCACAGCAAGGGCACAGCCTGAAGGCCATCCCTAGAGTGTCTGGTCTTTTTACTGTTCATTGATGTTTTGCCTATATGTTATAGACAATTGTGAGCTGACACATGGGTGCTGGGAATTGAACCTGGATCTTCTGGAAGAGCAGTCAGTGTTCTTAAGTGCTAAGCTGTCTCTCCAGCCCTGAGTCTCTGCTTCTTTTTTTTTTTTTCCTCTCTTTTTTCTTTTTTCTTTTTTCTTTTTTTGGCTTCATTCCAAGTTCTGAGCCAATGCCAGCTGCACACTTGACAAGATGGACCCAGCCCTGGATGTGGGCTGGGAAGCTCAGACCAAAGCCCAGAGACACAGACACTCTTGGAAAATAACCTGGCAGTCAAGCTGTGAACAGAGCTGCAACCTGGAGCCTCCAACCAAGGGTGGCTGGGAGGTGAGAGCCAGTCACAAGAATAGGACAGTGGATAGCACCTTGTTCCACAGGCACAGGTACACAGACACCCCAAAGAGGCAAACCTGGGCAAGTGCCCTGTGAACAGGAAAGTTGGGTGTGGCGGGCTCGACAGGCGTGGCTTTCAGGTCCTGAATGCCAGGAGAACACAAGGAGATGAACCTCCCCTCAGTATGCAAAGGGGAAACTGAGGGGCCCAGAAAACAATCCCTGACAGGGGCTGGTCCATCACAGTTCCGGAGGGCACATGATCCAAGGAGATACTAACATCATGAGGCTAAGAGGTGGAGCTAAAAAGGATGACAGACTCAGTGTCTCCTGGGAGGGGCTAAGCTTCATGACTGTGAGAGAAGGCTTGAAGGAGAAGAGATCAGAGGACACGAGGAGATGGCAATGAAGGAGAAGAGAGGATGAGGAGAGGGGAGAGGGTGAGAGAAGAGAGTAAAAAAAGGGGGGGAAGGGGTGAGAGGAAACAGAGATGAGGTCAGAGGAAACCGGAAATCCCTTATCTTGTTCATAGAAGGCAGCTACGTAAAAGAGTATGGTGACATCATCATGGAAGACAACTGGATTCAGCCAATCTGCTTACTGGACATCTCAGGCAGACCACAGCCACAGGGTCTGGGGACCTAAAAGCCCTGTGCATGGCTGGGCTGCATGGCAGGTGTGAGCCAGGACTGACTCCCAGCTATACCCACTCCTCTCCTCCCACCTTCCGTGGGCATCTTTAGGGGACGCTGTCCCCACCAATGCCTCCCTATCAGCACCAAAAGCCTGTGCTGACTAAGGGGAACAACAGGCTGGCATTGGCCTCCTCCTTCCTGCAGTGACTCCGGGTAGCTCCGCCTCTGGGGACCCAGGACTTTCCAAGGAAAAATGTAAACTATTTCCAAGTCCTCCAGTACCTGGCACACGGTTAAAGCAACAGACATGCTTTAATAAACCCGTACAGTCAAACAGGGTGCCCAAGGCTCGGGGATGTCCCACGGGGCCTCCTTGGTTGCCAAAAAGCAAAGCTGAGTAGAGTATCCTTCCGGGCTACGGAAGATGGGCCGAGAGGGAGATGCAGAATGGGGGAAGACAGACGACACCCTGTCACCGCCTTCGGGGTAGGATCCAGCCACAGTCCCCTGGGCCCCGAACAAACACTTGCCCTTTGTTCGCGCCTGGGGGGGTTCGGAATGCTCCTCCCCGCGGCCTGAACCGGACTGGCAGGTTTGTCTGTGTGAGCCTGGCCGTCCCCGCCTCCCGGGGGCACCGTGCTGGACCTTGGCCACGGGTCACTGGCCTGCAGGGTCCTGATGCCGCCCCGCCCGTGTGAGTCACACCGCCCCGAGGCACTGGAGCGACTTCCTGCTGCCGGGACCCCCGCCCCCAGCACACACACACACTCACACACACCGGGAACAGCCACAGGTAGACAGGCAGCCCGGATCCCGCCAAGAGCCCAGGAGGGATGGTAGGGCGCGCAGAAAGAAGTAGGAAGCGCCGGTCACCATTGTCCGCATCCAGAACGCATACTGGCAGGAGGCACCGAGGGAGCGTGGACCTGGGAGAGAGTTCCCGCACCCGGTCCCGAGACTCTTACCGACCAGCACGCACAGCACGTCCAGCAGCACGAAGACCCACCTCCGCTCCATGTCGCCCCCTCCCAGGGACGCCCGCGACCCCCGCTTGTCCCAGCTGTTCCGGAGCGTCCCAGCAGCCCCAGGATCACATGGCCATGGAAAGTGCCCGGCCCAGGGAAAGGGCTGGGCTTGACGAAAGGGCCGGGGCGAGGCGAAGGCGGGGCTGGGGCAAGGCGTGGCACAAAAGAAAGAGCAGAGGCAGGAGGAACAGGCAGGAGAGGGCGGAGACCCTGAGGGGTGTGTTTGCTACCTTGACCCGGGCGTGGAGGGCAGGGACTTCGGGGCTGGGAGGGGTCTCAGGACAAACAAGTCTCTAGGCTGGCATTCTGGTATCTCCGGGCTGAGTATAGGGCTCCAAAGCTGAGCATAGGGCTGAGTATAGGGTCTTCCAGCTGGAGTCTTCTGGCTGGGAGCGGCCACCAAATCTCTAGGTAGTAGGCTGGAGGTCACCCAAGTGTGCCCAGCACTTGGGCGGGGTTCTGCAGTTGTAATAAGGAGTTGAGGGTAGGGCAAGCCAACAATCACCTGGGCAGCACAAAGCTCACACACTCGGGAGTTGATCTCCTCAGCCTTTCCAAGAGAGGGAATCTGCACTGGACCCTCTAACACCTCTAAAACCAATAAGCACCGCAGCATGGGGTGACCGGGCTCAGGCAGAGACCCTCAGGCAGAGACCCTCTAAGCTAAGATCTTGTAGTCCCTGGCAGGTTAAAAGGTTCCTTGACACTTCGTGGAGGGAGGTTCAGGGTCAGTATCATGCCCCTGCTGTGTCCACTCTAGGGACCGACCACCACAGAGAATCTGAGGTTGACCCATGAATGGGCCCCAGCCTACCCTGTCCTGGGAGTGTCCTGGAGCCCTGGGCAGAGGACACTTGAGAGCCAAGGGCTTGTGGACTCAGGAAAGGAAGTCCAGGCTCCCAATACCCACTGTGGGCTGTGACCATGTGAAGGTGTAAGAGGCCACCGCATAAAGCCTCCACTCCAGAGATCATTGCAGCATTGGTGGCCACTGTTCTCCCAACATAGGGCTGTGTTTCAAGATGTTTAAGACTTGAGGACAGCGGAGGGCAGGAGAAGGACAGCTCCTGGATGAAAGTCCAGAATTCCTGCTGACCTGCTCCTGCGGGATGTCACCTAGGGTAGAGCTGTCCTGAAAGGTCCTGAGAGAACCCATGTGCCTGCTCTTTGGTGCTAGGAGGAGGCAGCACACAGTGACCTGTTTGTGGGTAGAGAGTCCCTGCACCCTAGAAGTGTCATTAAAGTTGGCAGGCAGCACCTTCAACATACAGTAACCTGCCAACCACTAGGGCTGGACAAGGACTGTGCAGAAACCTGGCTCCAGGTCTTCGTCTGTGTCCATGCCCTCCCCTACCTATGCCACAGGCCTGACCCTTAAAAGACAAGGGCATTCCTTGGTGAACTGGGCCATGATTGACATGCCTCTATCTGAGGACACTCTGAGGAGAGACCCCCCCCCCCCCCCCCGCCCCCCCCCCCCTCTCCCCCCCCCCCCCCCCCGACTCCATCATTCGATCACACCACCCAGCCATCCATCTAGAGCACATGACTCAGGTGCCAGGGTTCTATCTGCGACATATGTGGCCTGTCTCCTGGCCCCTGACAACTCGAATGAATGATAGCATCCTTCCTGCCCCCCTTTAACCTCTGTTTACCTGTGACCTAACCATAACAAGGTCTTAGCAGGTCAGGGTAACACTGCAATTCTGTGATGTTAGGGTCCCTTACTGAATGCCTACTGCATGGTGAGAGGAGAGCCAGAAAAGAGGTGATGGAGGAGACTGGGGCACTGGGCACGGAGAAGAGGATGGGGCAAGGACGCTCCCGAGGGAAGAAGGCTGGAAGAGGGTGGGTAGGAGGAGGACCGAAGGTGGAAGGGAGGCAGACTGGAGGAGGGAGGGGCTGGAGAAGGTGAGGCTGGAAGAGAGTGAGGAAGGAAAAGGGATGTGGCTGGAGGACTAACAGGAGGAGGGCGGAAGCTGGGGGATGAGAGGGAGGAGGGCGGAAGCTGGGGGATGAGAGGGAGGAGGGAGGAAGCTGGGGGATGAGAGGGAGGAGGGAGGAACTGGAGGATGAGAGGGAGGAGGGAGGAACTGGAGGATGAGAGGGAGGAGGGCGGAAGCTGGAGGAGGCTGAGAGAACAGGCTGGAGAAGGGCTGAGGCTGAAAGAGCGTGAGGATGCTGTTTGTTGATGGAGAAAACAGGGTCTGGAGGAGGGCTGTGGCCTGCGGAGTGTGAGGAAGGAGGAGGGTGAGGCTAGAAAGGATGAATGGGAAGGGGAGGGTAGAGGATCTGGAGCCTGGATAAGCAGCGAGGCTGTGGGAGAGATGAGCCTTCATGGACTCTTTCTCCCGTCCTTCCCCTCTTGGGAGGATTTGGGTCAGTTGCTAAAAATCCTTGGGCAGTATCAGCATTAAAACCTTGTAGAGGTGGCAAAAATTAGGATTAAGGTTAGGATTGGGGTCATGGCTCCTAATCCATTACCAGCATGACCACACAGTGAGGACCTTCCCTAGCAGAATTCTCCCACCAGGCCATGCTGAGCCAAGCTGCCTAACCAGTAGAGGAGCATGGGCTGGGAGCCTGGCCTTCCCCTGGGGCACAGGAGACTTGACTAGTCCTGCTGTCTTGCTAGCTTCCTGCTCCCACAGGGCATTGTTGGTCCAGGGCAATGGAGCTCAGGGTTAGCTCTGGCCCTGGGGACTCATGGCTACTGAGGCATCAGTGTCTCTCTGAAGGAATGCTGGGAAGTGAGCAGAGGGATCTACGTGTATTAGACACCACTCATATACACACAGCCTTGGCTCCCCATTTCTCTGTTTCAGTGCCTCCCTCCCACAGTCAGGGTTAGGGTCCCACATGATCTGATGCAAGCAAGATGCAGACCAAGGCAGGAAATTTGGGTGCATTCCTGAAGACAGACCCTGCAGCCTAGGTGCTCTGGAGATCAGCAGTTAGAAATAGGGTCAAGCAAGCAGCGGGCAGCCTGAAGAGTGGGGACCCGATGTACTGTGGAACTGGCCTTCTGCTGTCCCTGAGCCCTCACCCCACGCCAGTCACCTGCAGGGCCCAGGCTGTGCATCTCCTGCCCTTGGCCCAGCTGCTCCCCTGCTCGAGAGCATCAGGAAGCAGTGGCTGGACAATGCACAGACCACCAGCATGCAGGGGACCAGAGATGGCTGAGCAGAGCACAAGTGTACCAGTAACAGTGGATAACACAGCAGTGGTGAACTGTCAGACACAGGACATGTGTGAGCTCTTGCTTCAGCTCCCACACCTCTCTTCAGACATGGCTACCTCCTTCCCTGCTGCTGCTCACAATGGGCAAGGGACTCCATGGCAGATAGAAGAGGGTTGAGTCTACTATCTAGAGATAGATACTTTGGTGGCCCGGTTGCCATTACACATCCCTGCTGGCATGAATGATAGGTGTCTTTCTGACGGTCAGACCTCCATAGAAGCAGAGCTTCACACCCACAGTGGACCACCTGCCCTCAGTTTGCAGCACCCCCCCCCCATGAGTGTGTCTCTGGAAATCTACACTGAGGCTCTACACATCCCCCTCAATCACCACTTCCGTCATGCCTCATGCCAGCCACAAGGCCTGGATCCAGGCAATGCCAGTCTTTGATGACTGCCTGGGTGGGGCTGCTGGATGAAGCAAACAAAAAGGCAAAGCCCAGAGGGTCAGAGTAGCACGGCAATAAGCCATTATCAGCAGAAACGTAATTCTTATCCATCATGGGAATCTGAATACCCGAATTTTACCTGGTGACACCATCAAGGGAGCTATAGGCTGGGAGACTGAAGACCACTGAGAAGTGAACAGAAGTTTAGACAACAGAGTCAGGCCTGGGCCCATCATATCCCAGAGCTCTGACCAAGCCAGAAAGCCTGAGGCTCAGGGCAGTAGAGGGCCCAGATCCTCTAGCACCAGGAGCCTTTCGCCCTCCTCCAAGGCTGTCTCAAGAAGCCCCATCCAAGCTCTCTCAAGCCAACATCCACTTGCTCGAGCCAGCACAGACTCCCAGACTTGTACACAAAAGCCTTCATCCCAGTGCAAAGAGGCCTGGTCCTGAGGGAGGTTCTGGCCTGAGGTATGGGCTGAGTGCAGGGACAGCACTGGTAGGAACGGCCTGCAACCATTTGAATTCACGAGGGTGGCCTGGCATCTGCCCCAGCTGCAGATGGCGAGGGCTGGTGGCCCAGCTCTGCTCCCTAAGTCTTCAGTGCCCCTTACAAAGCAGACACAGATGCTGACTGACAAGCACTGACATCACCAGTCAGCAGGACAGAGCTCAGGGTGGCTCCTCCTGATCCTGGCCCACCTTGTGTCCCAACCTAAACTGGTCCCCCAACACCCTCCCAGGCTCACTACAACCTCTCTGGATTTCCAGACCTCTTGGCCTAGAAGAGTGTTCTATAGCTGGTCCAATGCTCCCCAAAACCATGCACGGCATGCCAGACACAGCAACCACTCTTCTCAACTGTCCCTGCACACTCAAACAGAAAATCCCATCTCACTATGCCTATGAGACCCAAGAAATCTCACCCAAGGATCTGTTGGCAGGGCTAGAATGACTCAGGACTTCCACAGAGGACAGCAGGGCTGCCAGCCACAAACCAGGCAGTATGGGAAACAGGGTGACCCGTTCCCACCAGCCTCCCAAGACTGATTTACTTGGCTACACCACATTTAAGACTCACATCCTCCACCACAAGAAAAATCACAGTATCACCTAACCAGGACTCCTAGACACCAAGAGGCTGAGCCAACCAGAGCACCTGCATGAGTCTGACCTAGGCCCTCTGCTTATGTTACGGTTGTGTAGCTTTGTCTTGTGAGACTCCTAACAATGGGAATGGGGCTGTCTCTAACTCTGTTGCCTACTTTTGGGACCCTTTTTCTCCTGGGTTGCTTTATCCAGCCTTAATACGAGGGTATATGCCTAGTCTTATACTACTGTAACTTGATATGCCAGGTTTGGTTAATATCCATGGGAGGCCTGCTCTTAAGAGAAACAGAGGAGTGGATGGAGGATGATGGAAGGAGAGAAGGGACTGGGAGGGGAGGAGAGAGGGAGAGATGTAATATGGGAGAAAAACAAAAACAAAAAACTCAAGTCCTCAGAAACAGCCGGACAGGAAGCAAAGCTGATGTGGAAGTGAACTGAGAGGATGAGACAAGCGGGTACAGCCTTCTACCCCCCCCAAATCTGCAATTACGGGGCTTGTCTAAAATACAGGTACGCTGGACATGGTGGCTCTACAACCGTGTTCGGGTGGAAGCTTCACCCCAGCCCCTGGCATCCATAAACCCAGAGTCTGGGATGTTCTGGCGGAAGCTTCATCCCAAGACCCCTCTCATCTCTCTCCAAACCCCCCTGCATTCATATAGCCTGCCAAGTAACAACCCTTCCCCCAAAGATGCTCAAAACGACTCCCATAGGGTATTTAAACTGTCCCCCAGAAAATAGACTGGTTTTCCGGTATCTCTTTCCTGTCTCCTCTCTGGGGGAGGCTGGAAAATCATCCAGGAGCATGGTGTCCACTAAACGTGGGCTTTTCTAGTTTGGTTTGATTTGGTCTGATTCGGATTGCTGCATCGGTGGAGAGGCTTATCGAGGTGCAGAAACTTCACCCAGTACTCAGGAAACTGAGAAAGAGGAATAAGCAAAAACTTGAGGCCAGCCTGGGCTTTGCAGCAAGTATGGGGATAGTGTGGACTAAAAACAATGAACTAAAAGTAGGGCTAGATACAGATAGCTGGCTCAGCAGCTTGACTGCTAATCAGGGACTCACAAGATGGGGAGAACCAACTCCCCCAGGTTGTTCCCTGACCTGCCATGACATACACGCATCCACTGATACATATACACACAAATAAACAGAAAAACATGGCTGGAAATATGTTCATGGTACACAGCTCGTCATGTAAAAGGCCTCAGGACAGATAGACAGACAGACATGGTCACGGACACACACACACACACCCAGCCCTCTCCGTCCAAGCATAATGGCAAGTTCCAGACCAACCTGGTCTACAGAGTTTGAGGCATCTTAAGCTACACAGCAAGACCCTGTCTGTAATCAACACAGAAAAACCAACACATAAAATAATATACAGTAACTACTACATAATATAAAGAGACAGCAAATACAAGGAGAGTTTTAGCAGAAAAATTAAAAATGATTCATGACTGGACAGGATATCTCAGCATCAGGTTAACAGGGGCCATCTGACAGAGGGGTGGATGGGAACAGACCCACTGGCCATACAGACGCCAAGCTTCCACAACAGGAGATTCTCAAATGCCACGCTTCCTTCCTCTGCCTTGGGCCCCACTGTTTGGGTCCAGTTGCCCTGTCCCTGCCCAGTCTGTCTGCTGTGCCCAAGGAAGTGATGCCAGGTTCAAGTTTCCAATGGTGACCACACACAGAATACCCTCCCCAACCTACTGTCCCAGCAAACACTGGTCTCTGCCTTAAGTGTCTGCTCTGCCACCAGCTCCAGGCAAAGTCGACTGGAACTCCATGTTTGAGCTTTCTCGGCCTCTTCCAGGCTTCCTGTATTGTGTGTCATGGAGCCCTGTGGCCCTGTGTGATCTAGTATCCTCATGCCTCTCAGCTGCACTCTACTGTGCAGTCATACTCTTGCCCAGGGTCCCCAACGGGGTGACAAGGGCAATGTAGGTTCCCCAGCTCCTGCCAAGCCACCATGAGACACCCCGGGCTTCAAATCAATTTAATAAATAAAATAGCATTGGGCAAAGGCAGTCTCGCATCACAGTGTCCTCGGTGGGGCGAGGGACAGTCGAGTCCAGCCACAGAGGCTCACACAGCACCACTCTGCCAACACCGGGCGGAGCTGCCTGCCCAGAGACCCCACTCCGAATTGTAAACACCAACATAAATAAAACGAGGGAGGCCAAGGACAAGACGGACCCAGCCATCCTGCTAGGAGCCTCCAAAGAAATGAGACCCTCAGAACAGGGGCGTGGCAGGGTGGTGCTTCCAGAGCTGTACCCCAAGATGCCCCAAGGGGAGGGGCAGGAAGGGAATGGACCACCTGCTCCTCACCCACCAGGCTGCTGAAGCCCCACCTCGGTGCAGGGTGGGGGTGCGGGCAGGAGGCAGTTGGGGTATAAAGTGCGGCTTTTCCTGAAGTGGAGACGGTGAGGGCCGAGAAAGGGTGGCCACAGGGCGAGGTATATGGCTCTGTGCCCCAAGGTCCCACGCAAAGCAGAGGCTGGGGGCCACAAGCCCGCTGCGGTGGGGAAAGAGCTGGCCTGTGGAGGGTGCCCGGGCAGAGGCTGCTGGTGCGGGATGAGTCCTGCCCAAAGTCCCAGGCAGCACTGCCTGCCCAGCCTCTGCTGGCTGAGGGACAATGGCTGGCTCCATGTTGGGATGGGCCCTCTCCAAGCCCAGCTGCCAGGTTGGCTCGGCGGCACAGAAGCAGCCTGGGGCTGTGGCGGTGCTGGATGCTGAGGTCTGGGGTCTGTGTGGCCCTGGCCACTTCACTGAGTCCCATCATGATCTGAAGCAGAGGAGGCACCACACAGGCCTGCGTGGGAGAGGTCAGGAAGACTGACAGGCAGGCCTGGCAGTGCTGCCGTGTCCATTCTGAGCACTCACGCCCACAGATGACCGGGGGTCAACAGGTCATCACGTTGCACCTAGGGGAAACCATAAGAAAGGGTCAGTGGCCAAGGAACCCAGGCCTCACCAATCCCCACCCACTGCCACCCAAAATGCAGCTCTGTCACTGCCTGGACAGGCTGGTGCAGAGTGGAGAGCAGCATGGCACCTGCACCCACTTGCAGCTTTGTGTGCAATGAACATATTGCTGAGCTGAAAACTAAGGAAGCCAGAGGAGGTACAAACATCTCAGGGCCTCCTGGTCCCAGTGGCTTTCCAGAGTGTTGGCGCAAGCCTCCAGGACCTCCTCACACTTGGCATTTTGTGTCTGCAAAGCCAGTGCTTGTGTGTGCTGCTGCTGAGTTCTTCCAGCCCAGCCAGTGCTGCAGTGGCCTCTGAACCTTGGCTGCACCTGGGGAGTCACTTCCCTGGGCGCTTGCTTTGAGGAAGGGGTCCCTAGAGGCAGCTTGGCCCTGGGCACCGACCAGCCTGTGGAAGGTGCTAAGGGTGACACTCACTGTGACAAAGGCTCTGAACGCAATGTGGAGGCTGGGCATGTGGGGTGGCCAGTCAGGAAGGGATTCACATCCCCAATGCCAATGAGTCCAAATTCAGTGACCGACAAGGCCACCTGTGCCGGGGCCATGGGCTCTGCAGTGTCCTCGCTCAGATCCACAGGGCTGGACACAAGAGGCAGCTCCTCAGGTAGGGCAAGGTCCACAGCCAGCCTGGGGCTGGTGCCCGGCTCTGGAGCAGGAGTGGCGGCAGGGGGGGGGGAGCAGCAGCAACCACAGGTGAGAGGTCAGCCGGGGAGGCCAGGCTGCTGGGCTGCTGTAGTGAGGCCACAGCAGGGGGCTCATTCAGCTGCTCGAAGGGATGTGGTCCTGGCTCCGAGGACAGGAGATGATCCGAGCCTGCTCCAGGCTGATCAAGTCCACCAGCTGCAACATCCACACTAGGCTGCTCTGAAGGGAGAACAGGAGGAGCGGCATGAGCAGAGGCTAGGCCCCCATAGCCCCACGTTCCTCTCTACGGTCTCATTTATGTGGGGCCTCCTTAGCCAGCTATGCCAGTGGGCTCAGCCACGGAAACTATGAAGTCAGGAGCGGGCCATGTCCACAGCTTTGTAAACAGGCATCAGAGGACCCAGAGACGAAACACCAGAACTCTGCTGGGAAGTGTGAACACTGGACGGTTCTACAAACCCACAAGCACCACACAGCACAACTACAAGGCACAACCTCGTAGACTCAGTGCCAGAACACTGAAACGAGACCTCTGCTGACAAACAGACTTGGAAAGCGGGAGTCCTTACTCATGTCTCCCGGTGTGAATGTGTTTTTGTCCCCTCCCAGTCACAGGGTTGGCGGGGGCAGGACCAAGCTGGCCCACTGCTCAGTGTGGAGACTGCGTGGTGCAAGCTTTGGGTTCCCTGTTCTCACCCACAGTCCCACCTCATGTGAACTCACCCATGGGCACCCCTGCTTCAGACTCCTGCTCAGGGCGCAACCGGGCAGGACCATCAGAGTCAAGGCCATCCAGGTCCTGCTCAGCATCCCTGTGAAGAAAGGGCTGTGAGGAGAAAGCCAGGGAAGCAGGAAGGGACACCCCACCACACCCACCCTGGCCAGATGGCTAATATGAGCACGCACGTGGTTCCAGAGGAGACGAACTTCCTCCGGCCCAGCCGCGTCTGCTGGGCAAAGTAGTCGTACCGCTCAGATTTCTTCCACAGGTAGTAATACTCCACACACTCGCCCACCGACCGTGTGCGCACCTGTATGGACCACAGGCATGCTTTTGGCCTCACTGCACAGTTGCAAGCCACAGGGTTGCAGGCAGGAAAGGCTTCCCAGAGGGACCCATGAGACATCACCTACTGCCCAGTCCCCACCAGCGCTCTATCGACTAGCCTGCAGCCTTCTCTCCCTGACCCTCAGATCCATGAGCAGCAAGCTAAGCACAGAACAGTGCAGACAACGGTACAAGTCCAGGATACTGGCCCATGGGAGCCAGTTGCTAATATGAACATGGGCTTGGAGCCACCCTGAAGACAAAGCTGAGGACATGCACTGCAGTGAGGCCCAGTGCTGCCCATCCACACTGTCAAGCCCCAGGAGACACACCTCATGCACGTTCACAAGGTTGTTTCTGGGGTTTCCATGAGGAAAGCCCAAGCTGCATATGGCTGGGGTCCTGGATGAACCAAAAAGGTAAAAGACTGTCAACTGGGAGAGAATTCAATGTGACCAGCCACCTCACGTTCCCATCGCCATGGTGGACTGCACCTTCAAATCTCGACCAATAACAGACGTCCTCAAGATGTTTGTGGCTAAAGGCTTGGTCACAACAACAAGTAAGTGACTAATACAGAAAACTAGTACTGAGGTGACATTGGCTGAACAGACCCGACCACATGGTCCACAAGTGCCACTGAGTGGAGGGACCTGACCTGTGGTCAACACGTGCCTCTGGGTGGAGGGACCAGACCATGTGGGAGGAACGTGAAAGAGTTTAGAACTAGCTGGGAGACGGTGACGCTCGCCTTTTATCCCAACACTCGAGAGGCAGAAGCAGGTGGATCTCTGTGAGTTCGAGACCAGCCTTGTCTACAAGAGCGAGTTCCAGGACAGCCTCCAAAGCCACAGAGAAACCTGTGGGGGGAGGTGCGGAGGGGGGGAGAAAACAAGAGTTTAGAACTATGAGCTAGAAGCTCTAGGCTCTAGCTCCCAGCAGAGCTTCTCGGCCATGCTGGTGGGAATTCAGAAGGGCAGAGAGTGAAGAGAGATGTACAGTGGAAGCCACAAGCTTCCCAAAGGGAAGCCTGAGACCATCCGTGCTACAATTTGGCAAAAAGTCTAGCTTCCTCCTGTCTGGTTGCTGAACACTGAAGTGGGGCTGAACTCAAAAGTAACAGACACAGCTGGGCAGTGGCGCACTCCTTTAATCCCAGAAGTCAGGAGACAGAGGCAGGCAGATCTCTGAGTTGGAGGCCAGCCTGGTCTCCAGAGTGAGTTCCAGTATAGCCAGGGATATGGAGAGAAACCCCGTCTCAAAAAGAAAAAAGGAGGTAAAAAGGTAACAGGCATAGCTACTCCATGGAAGAAATTTCAAGATAGGACAGCACACTCACTGCGCACTATCAAGACGGGACAACAGCAGCTGCAGCCCACGCTCACTGCTCACTGCACACTGCGCTCGGTCAGATCAATAGTAAGAGAGAACAGAGAGAACACAACATGAGATTCAGTGGAAAAACGGACCTCAAGCAAGATCTCAGCTACTGATCCAGCTTCAAGCACGAGTCCCTATGCCCTGCAATGGGAGAGTGGAGTAGAGCAGAAACCAGCACTGAAGACCCTGGCTGTGAAAACCCAAATTCACTTGAAAAAAGAACACCACACTGAGGTCACTGAAGGGACCCCTTCCTCAAAGCAAGCGCCCAGGGAAGTGACTCCCCAGGTGCAGCCAAGGTTCAGAGGCCACTGCAGCACTGGCTGGGCTGGAAGAACTCAGCAGCAGCACACACAAGCACTGGCTTTGCAGACACAAAATGCCAAGTGTGAGGAGGTCCTGGAGGCTTGCGCCAACACTCTGGAAAGCCACTGGGACCAGGAGGCCCTGAGATGTCATTGTGTAAAGCTGGGAAGGCAAAGCCCCACTTCCAGTGAAGATGCCAGGATGCTGGAGGCACCTGAACCACAGGACATTTGCCAGAAAAAAACTGCAGGCAGAGTAGAGCTGGCCCCAAGAGGCTACATGCGCCACGGTAACAGGGGAAGTGGCAGGGCTCAGGCCACTGGAGCCCAGACTGTGAGCAGGACACAGAGCTGCATGTGGGTGCAGCCACGCCGAGCCCTAGCAGGGCTTCCGACTGTCTTCCATTGCTATGAAGAAAGAACAGCAATGTCCATCGAGCAGCACTGCACACAAGTATGGGCTTACAGGTTTGCTTTGGTTTTTTGTTTGTTTGTTTTCAAGGCAGGGTTTCTCTGTGTAACAGTCCTGGCTGTCCTGGAACTCTCTCTCTCTGTAGACCAGGCTGGCCTCAAACTCAGAGATCTGCCTGTTTCTGCTTCCCAAGTGCTGGGATTAAAGACATGTGTCATGCTCGGCTACTTACTCATGTGTTTGAGTATTTACCTGCATGTATGTTTATGCACCATATATGTGCCTGGTATACCTGAAGTCAGAGAAGGTGTCAGATCTCTTGGAACTGAAGCTATAGTCATTGTAAGGCACCACAAGGTGCTAGAAATCAAATGGGGTGCTCTTCAAGGACAGCCAGTGCTCTTACCACTGAGCCACCTCTCCAGCCTGTAACTTATATGTAGACTTTGAAGGTCACAGCTGAAAGACTACATCAAGTCTCAGAAGACAGTGACATCTGACTTATGAACTATGCAGGGACAGGACAGGAAGCTGGAAGAATTCCCAGCAGGAGCCCTCCAGGAGCAGGGAAGGAATGTGATGAGTGAAAGTGAACTCCGGTGTCATTATGAGAGACAGACTGCGAGAGTGAATCTTGTCAACCTAACGGGATTTGCAGTCACCTAAGAGACACTCATAGCTTGGCTTGTCGAGGAGTCTCCAGAGAGATGTAACTGGTTATAGAGGACACACCCTGAATGTAGAAGGCACCATGTGATAATTAGGGATCCTGAGTGAACAGAAAGGTAAAAATCAAAAAATGAGCAGACAACGTATTCAGGCCACCGCAGCTGGGGACTGAACATAATCCTTCTTTGTCATGAGAAGCTACCTTTCAAACTGGGCCCAACACGGGCATTTCCTTAAAGCCCTTCCACTCCAGTATTTCATCACAGCGGAGGGAAGCAGTCACAGGGAAGTGACAGACAGGACACAGATGCAGTGACAAGGAAGTGATGGACAGGACATGGGTTCAGATACCAGGCCTCACCTGTGCTACACCTGGCAGACCATCATCCCATGGCCACCATGCATCCATAATCCCACAGATGTGTCAAGCTAAAACCTAGGACACTCCTACTTTGATGTCCCCAGCAGTGTCCTACCAACATCCACAGGGGCCCTCCCACCTGACTTCTGACTCACAGCCCCACCCCTGCCCAGGACACAGCACTTCACAGAGACCCAGTATCTGGACACACCTGCTGCCCAGAGAGCCGGCCTGGCAGGCCCCAGGAGAGACCCCAGGCTTCACAGGCTCCTCATGCCTCTCTGCATCCTAGACAACAGGCACAGTCTGTCACCAGAGGAGTTCAACAAGGTTGTGCCAAGCCCCTGGATAGCAGATGCACTCCTGCTTTGACAGTTCAGGGCTGAGCACTGCCTCTGGCCAGCTCTAGGCAATCAGACCAAGCAATAGCCCTGTGACACCCCAAGCCCAGAACCCCTGTATCACCACTCACTAAAGATGACACCAACACCTCCCAGGTGAACAGGTTCCCAGGGTACAAGGCCAGATCAAGGCTGGGCTACCAGCACTACAACCAGCAGGGGCAAAGGCAGGTACAGAGAGCTGTATGACATGTCAACCCAGAGCAGGGCCTGTGGCACTGAAGCAAGGCAGACACCCACGAGGCACTCAGTGACCCAGGCATCATGCTCCAGTGTGGAGCACTGAGCCAGCAAGCACCACAGAAGACCCAAAGGTGAAGGGGGGGAGGGTGAAAAGGAGCCAACTTAGGCAAGGGAGCCTCATTCTTTGGGGTGAGAAAGGGCCGAGTGAATGTGGCCAAGACCAGGGGGAGCCTTCGACAGGACGGATCTGGCAGGAGGGCCTCACCCACCTTGTTAGCCTGGATCAGGTGGAAGTTCTTCCCATGAACACGGAAGCCATGTTCAAAGTTCCTGCACTCCTCCTCGCTCCAGGCGCAGAGTCCGTCTGCAAAGAGTGGGGTGCTCAGACAGCTCAGGGGCAGAGAGAGGAGGGGAGCCCAGGATTGCAGCTCACCTCGGATCACCTTTACATTGAACCTCAGCCTGCGCAGGGCCTCCTCCACGTTGAAATTACACTTCACCAGCTCGTACAGCGCCTGGGGCAGAGCAGGGTTTACATTTCTCACCAGTCTACCAGAGCCCGCACAGAGGACACCACACCCCATGCTGCACCCGCACCACGGCCCCAGAGCCACGTGCTGCACCCGCACCAGGGCTCCCAGAATTCCAGTGGTGCTGGCACCTTGGCCAACAGCCATCAGGGTGCCTGCACTGTCACACCAGGAGTGACATGGAACGCTGTCACCACTGCCCCTCACAAGTGGATTCAATGTGCCATCCCACAGCCAACTGCCTTACCACTCCCTGGCTGTGCCCCATGTGTGCCCCCTACCTGTTCACTGTCTTTAACCACCTCGCCCTCTGGAATCTGGGGGCCGGCCATCTCCTGCCACCTCCGCTTCACTGCCCTGTACAAGAACTCCTCCACCTCCCGCTCTGGGAGCACGCTGGGGCTCCACAGCAGCTGGTCTTCATTTTCATAAACTGTGGGGAGAGGCGGAGAGTCAGGTGTGGAAAGGCCGCTCACACCGGGGCAGGCACCTCAGCACTTCCCAGTGGGTGGAACCAACTCCTGGCTCATGCAGCTCCGTGTCACATGGACCCAAGTGCTATGAGCACTGAGGGAAAAGTTAGAGGGCAGTGGGGGGGGGGGCAACAAAGTTGGGGTGTGAAGCCAGCAAACTGAACCCACCAGCAGATTTCAAGTGGTTCTGAAGAGGCTATGAGTACTTCCCCTCAGGGTGTCACAAACAATCCCAGAGGCAGTGTCCAACAAAGTTGGGGTGTGAAGCCAGCAAACTGAACCCACCAGCAGATTTCAAGTGGTTCTGAAGAGGCTATGAGTACTTCCCCTCAGGGTGTCACAAACAATCCCAGAGGCAGTGTCACTCAAGTGTGCCCATCTGCAGACAGAGCTTCAGCACACAGCAAACACGGCAGAAACAAAGGAGAGAGAGAGCAGTGGTGCTCGCCTATGATCCTAACATGTTGTGTGTGTTGTGTTGGCCAGTCTCCACACAATGTTCCAGACCAGCCTGAACTACAACAGAACCTGTCTCAAAAAGGGGGAATGAAACAAATAAGAAAAACAAACAAACAAACAAACAAAACACAAAACACACAGACTGAAGTCTATAAACTCAGTCAAATCTCCATGTGTTCAAGGCCAGCCTACTCTACATAGGGAGTTCCAGGCCAGCCTAGGTTACAAAGAGAAACCTTGTTTCAAAAAATAAAACAAGTAAAGCCAAAAGTGAACCACAGCCCAGGCAACTTCATTGAAGAAACAACATATGCTTCATGGGACATGCTCAGTCTTCCCCAATCTGAAAAAGAGGCAACTTCAACACTTCCACAGGACAGCTTAACATTGGTGTTAACACTTGACAAGAGACAAAAGTTTGACTGCAAGCCACCACCTGTGAGCACATACAAGCCCGTGAAAGGCAGCCTGGGGGGAATCTCTCCAGGCAACTCGGGAGCAGGCGGTGGCTGCAGACATGGGCAGCGGTCACCTGCTGCTGCCCAGCAGAGCTGGCCTCTCCAGACCCTCAGTGTTCACCTGCCTCTCAATCCATCCTTCAGGCATGCTTCCATTTAGTGCCTGGCCATGGTGTGGTTGGGAACCCGTGGCTGAGCGTGTGGCTGAGATTCACTATGCAGGGTCCCCCTCAAACGCAGACCAGTGTGTCTGCACTTATAGGAGCCAAGTTGGGGAAAAAGGTCCCTAGGATATGTCTCATACTGCTTCCTGAACACCATGAGGCAACCCCCTCTGTCACACACTCCCCATGCCATATTCTTTTGTGTGGGCACATGGGGCCCAACAACCAAGGATCGACCCTCTGGAACTTTGAGCCAAAATATACTTTTTGTGTATGTGTGCACACGTGCGCGTGGGGGCTGGGGTGAGGTCTGAAATGAACCCTTCCGCTGTGACTTCCACACATCTGTCATAGCAGCAGCAACTAAGCAACTACTGTACGGTTGATCTGATTACCCTACCCTCCAACACTGTTCCACTGGTCTCCATGAGACATACAGTGGCCTGCGTGGATGACACCCACTCCAGCTCCACAAACAAAAAGTGCCAAGGACAGCATAGGGCACAACAGTTGATGAGAAGGAAGAGCCTAGCCTCCCTGCCACCGCACACACATGTGCTGAGTGCCCCAAAAGCAGACCAAGTGTTGTCTGCAGCCTAGAGAGCATAGTGGCCAGACCATGGGCCGCAATGGGGACAATCCATCATGTCAGGGCTGCTCCAGAATGTAGGCTGGCCCAACAACTGTGAACCTGGCCAACTGCCCTTCACCACACTGGCCCGATCCAGAGCACACACCGGACACCCAACAACACAACTTAGGTCAGCAGCTAGACAGAGGGGCTCTTCATCTGTTGAGGCTTCGGCCCTGAGCACTGACTCTGAGCATGGCACAAGTGAGGACAGGTTCCATGCCACATTGAAGGACCCACAAGTACAAAGATGGGATAGCCTAGCCAGTAATGGCGCTTGCTGCCAAGCCGGACAATCTTGAGTCTGAGCCGTGGAACCCACATGATAGGACAATCCTACAGGTTATCCTTGGACCCCACGTGTGCCTGAGTATTCGTGCACACACACCCACAAAATGTAAATACAACGTGTATATAAAAATGTAAACAAAGGCCTTTAATCCCAGCACTTGGGAGGCAGAGGCAGGTGGATTTCAGTGAGTTCAAGGCCAACCTGGTCTACAAAACAAGTTCCAGACAGCCAGGGCTGTTACACAGTGAAGCAAAACAAAACAAAAAAAAAGTAAAGAAGCTAATTTTTCCCAGTGAATGACATAAAATATACACAACAACCCACAAAGCACTGGACACATATTGTACAAAAGGACAGAGACTGAGGCCATCCTAATGGGGGGGGGGGGGTGTGAGCAGGGGCTACAGAACAGAAGCAACCCAGGTTGTGTCCAAAAAATGCAAATAACTCCTACAATCCCAAAGGGCGCCATCAGCACACAGGGGAATGCTCCATCCACCATCCACCTGGGGACAGTGTGACACCAACCAGGCAATGAATGCGCAGCTAAGGAACACTGGACATGCGGGGGCAGCACACACACCCTGCGCAGGCAGCACACAGAGGTGGTGCCCAGAGCAAGGCCACAGGGAGGCACTGCCACCAGAGGACCATGGAAGAACCTAAATGACACAGAAGGCTGGGTGCACACCAGGTCCGGGCTCAAGGACACAGTGAGGTATGCATAGGTGCTGTGTTGGGTAAGTGTCTCTTATGCCCCACCCTGAGTACCCCTGTACCTTCGGGCACACCTTGCACAGCCCACATCGAAGCAGTCACCCTCTACAGGGTCTCTGACCTCGGCTGCTGGGCAGAGCAAGGAGTGCTCTATCAGTGGTCCTGGCCCTGAGGGCTTGGGGCAAGAAGTCCAGACAGGAAGTGACCTCCCAGGTCAAGGGACAATTAGGGGACATGGGAGCAGCAAGTATATAGGCCCAAAGAAGATACTAGACCCGTTCAGGGAGGGAATGGTGCTGCTGGCAGTGCTGGTACAGACAGGGCGGTGGGAACCACGGACTGGGCCAGGGATGGTACTTGGTACTATGGTACTGCTAACGATGGTCTATTCCACCACAGACAGCAATCAGAAGCTTGCTAAGAAGGTGCTACCTAAGCCGGGCAGTGGCGCACACCTTTAATCCCAGCACTCGGGAGGCAGAGGCAGGCGGATCTCTTTGAGTTCGAGACCAGCCTGGTTTACAAGAGCGAGTGCCAGGACAGCCTCCAAAGCCACAGAGAAACCCTGTCTCGGAAAAAAAAAAAAAAAAAAAAAAAAAGAAGGTGCTACCTATTCCCAGAGCCCCTGGACAGGACCCACAAGGCCTCCTGAACAACTTACTCTTGTCACAATGCCGGTTCAAGTGCAGGATATTGAGGTCAGCTTGGAACTGGGGCCCCACCATGATCTCCTGCAGAAGCAAGAGCCGGGAACAGGGTCAGGGTCAGGAATTGAATGGTAGACATGAAGCTGGAACCCCACGGGCACCATGGGCTCCAGAGGCTGCCGCCCAGAGCTGTGGGTCTGCCTGCCCGTTTCCACTTCTGCACTCTGGTGGGTGAGACAGAACACCCCACTGCCTGACCCTGCAAACCCCTGCAGAGTGCTGGGTCACCTCACTGACAGTCAGTCATCCTCAGAGCAGAAGTACAAACCAGGTTCAGGTACTTAGTGGGTCCTACCCACCCTGAAGTCACAGAGCCATCCCGCCTCTCAGAGAGGCTCAGAGCCTGTGGGGTGCCAGAGGCACAAGGTGTAAATCACACAGCTCCATACCTTCTTGCACTTGTTGGCAGGAAGCGCGTCCTCCTCAGTGTCGGAGGAGGCTGACGAGCCTGGGACGTTATCACCAGCCAAGAACCGAGCTGTAGAGAGAGAGGCAGTGAGGGGCACCCACCAGGTTACGGCTGGCCCTTCCAGGGGCCTCAATGCAGCCCGTCTGGCAGCCCCTACCCTGCACCATGTCTACCCAACCCAGCTGCCAGAAGCTAACAGAGGCTGGCAGGCCTGAAGAGCACCTATGGTAGCCTGAAGCCACCATCCCTGAAGTGCTAGGCACAGACCCACTCCTGTCTCACTCAATCCAAACCCACAGTATGGCAGCTCACAGGACCCCAGCCTCACCCAGGGCCACTATAGCATCTCCCCTACAAAGCCCTGGGCCCAGGCCTATGTGACCTACACCCACTCTGATTATGAAAGAGGTCCGAGGCCTCATGGGAGGTGACAGATGGAGTGAGGTCATCAGCTGAGGACTGCGTCTCTTCCTCCTCTTCCCCAGAAAGCAAGTCCTTGGCAATCTGCTCCTTTGAACAGGACAGTAAACACAGTGTGGCAATTACTTCACCTAAACCTAACAGCAACATAAAAGGCCAAGCCTGTTGGGCGAAGGGGATGCAGACAGCTGGCTGAAGCCATCGTCTGTGTTGGATAGAGGTGCAGACTCCACATGCCCTCTGGGGCTCCGACTCCTTTCCCAGCCACAGTTCCTCAGGATGGCATCCATCACCTGGACCAGAATGGCTGTCAGCCCAACCCCAGGACAGAGTCACTGTGGTTGTACCAGTGAGGACACAGCAGGAGAGCAACCCCAAGCAACTGTCACACTTGCTGACCCAGTAGCCCCCCAATCCTGGGCCTGGCATCCCTTCTGCTCACCTCCCACTCAGGGCAGCCAGTCACCTTCCTGAGGCCGTTTCAGGGAGTCCCACTCACCTTGTCCAAGGTCATGTCCGGCAGAGTTGGGGCTGTGTCTCCACCCTCGCTCTCCTGCTCAGAGATGGGGTCTGATGACTCGTACCCATACAGTGCAAGCAGCTCATCCAGGGGCATGTCACTGCTCTAGGAAGGAGTACAGGATCCATCAGGGGAGTGAAGCCTAGGGCTGCGCCTGAGTCCCACTGACCCCTCGCTGACCCCTCGACACTCCTTAACAAATCTCCATGGGGCAGTACGCATGCATCAGGACCACCACAGAGATTAGCAGTACAGGGACACAGCAGACTCGGGCACCGGCCAAGGCTTTGGGGAGCAGAGCAGGCTCTGAGGCCAGGCCAGGCCAGCACATATGCAAACCACATGTGCATGGGCCACATGGAGACCCATGGGAGCAAGTGGACACAGACTGGTGAAATCACCATACCTGGGCAATGAAGTCCTTGTCCAGCTCCTCCTCCGGCTTGTCAGGGCACCGTGGGGCCTCGGCACAGCCCTCTCGGAGGCTATAGTTCTGTGACAGGAGCTCGGCAAGATTAAACTGATGGTCTGCAGAGCCCATGGATACCACTGTGGAAGAGTTCAACAGGTAGACAGAGTGTGGGGACTGAGTAGGGGTAGGTCTGGAGGGCCCAGAGACTGGAAGGGCACTGGGGCTAGAAGAGGGACGGCATCAATCAGGTGACAGCATAAGGCAATGGAGGGGTCCCAGGTCCCGCCATGGCCACAGCCACACACACAGGGCCACACAGGCAACACTACACAAGTCACTGTAGGAGTGCAGAGTACCACACTCTGCTATCTGCAGGGCCACACCTATGTGATGTTTATGGTGGCAGAAATCTGCATCACTTCACGCTCATGGGCCCACAGCAGATGACCAGCAGACCACTAAAGACCTTAAAGCCACCAGGCATGCAGCCACCTCAAGGAGAGCCCTCCCTCCTTGGCTGTTCTCTGTTAGCTAGCCACTGTCCCATAGCGCCAATGAAAAGGAGTGCCCTGACCACTGTGCACACCTCCACCTGGTGGGGGACGCTGAGCCTCCCTTGACTCTCACCCATGCCTGTTCAGTCAGGCTGAGCAAGAGTTCTGTCTGGGGCAGAAGCGGGTGAGGATAGTACCTGCCGTGGTCTGCAAGCTGGGCTCCCGAGGGCACAGGCTATGTGCAAGGCAGGAGGTCACTCGAGGACTCTGCCTCTCCAGCGAGGAGGCCTGTAAGGAAAGAAAGGCGGCACTGCTCAGGAGCCCACACCCACCAGCAGACCTCACACAGCTACTGGAGCTCTGGCGAGAGCCCAGCCACTAGGTACCCTTGAAGACTGCAGAGGAAGCAGCCTGGGGACTGTCCTATCACAGCTCCAGTGTGGAGGGACCTTGAAGACATGGGACTTGGTGAAAGATACAGACACAGAAGGATACACTTGTAACACTCTTGACAAAGCAGGGAGAGGAACTGGACTCAAGGGTCTGGGTCACTGGGGAGAACATGACTCTAGCAATGAAAACAGTGGCTACACAGGTCCCACTGTACTGAGAAGAGTTGACTACAATGTAAGGGGCAGCAAACTGAAGCCGTGTCTGCAAAACCAGGACCAAGAGACGTCAGGGCTCGTCCCCAATACCTGTCCACTTCCCCACTCCAGCAACACCAGCCAAGGTTCCAGTGGCACTGCAAGAGAATGAAACGAAGGGACAGAGAACAGACACCTCTTTCAGCTAGTGACACTGAGGTAGTCCAGCAGGGCTGAACACCATCTTGGTCCCACACCAGCAATGGATATCCCCTAAATTAAGAAAAACAACCCCACTCACAGCGGCCAGGATGTATACAGCACATGCTCCCTAAGAACACAGCCATAGAGACAGAGATGAGCGACATGAGAGAAAGGGTGACCACGCTCCTGGCCAAGGTCCCCATATTGGAAGACGGAGATCCTCTGAAGTGACCTAGACAGCCACCCAAATTGCAGAAACTGATAAGCCAATTCCAAACAGCACACACAGAAACTCAAGGGTCTCAAAAGAGCCACAAACATCCTGAAATCAGGAACACTGATTTCAGAAATGCTACAAACCATAGACATCTCAGCAGAGTAGTGTGAGCCTACAGATAAGCCCAGGTCTGAGACACACAACTGGGAATCTCAGAGACAAACTCCCCGATGGCCTAGATGCACAAGTCCAATATATGTAACCCAACAGACTGACATGTGACAGGACTCACAGGATGGGGAGAAACACTGGAAAGTCAAGCACACATCTGGAAAGCGGTGTGTGTGTGTAGAGACTGCTTAGTGAGCGAAGATAAATCAGCAGTCCAGCCTGCAAATGTCTCAGACCTTGAGCCCATCTCTCCAAAGACACACACACTCTGCAGAGAGGCCATGCTCCTACCACAACAGAACATGCAGCACCAGGAGCGCTTGGTGCTGTCCCCAAAGTCACAGCACCTCTATTCCAGGAGAAGGAAGCACACAGAAGCACCACTCACCTCAGTTAGAAGTGGGAGGGCCATGTCTACCCGCTGAAGAATAGACAAGCAAAAATAAACACCAGAGAACCACACAGCCACCAACAAGAACGAGGCTTTCATACATGCCACCAAAACAAGGGGAGACCTCGCCAGACACTGCAAAGAAAAGGCCACACAGTGTAGGGGGCACCACCAGGGGTGAAGCCAGAGACAGGACATGGGTTTGTACTGGATGAGTGCTGGGAAGGGGACAGAGTGACTGCTCATGGGGATAGGGCTTCCTTTAGAGGTAAGAGAATGGTTTCAAATTGTGTTGGCAGTTACACAACTCCAAAAATACCAAAAGCCACTGAACTACACACACTAAAAGGGAGACAGACAGGGTGCACCTCAGCAAGCTGCTGCCCATAATAATCATAGGAGGGGTAGGAGTAATAATAAATAATGTGGGGCAGGAGAGATGGCTCAGTGTTAAGAGAGAGCACCGGGGCACAAGCCGGGCGGTGGTGTCACACGCCTTTAATCCCAGCACTCGGGACGCAGAGGCAGGAGGATCTCTGAGAGTTCGAGACCAGCCTGGTCGACAGAGCAAGTGCCAGGATAGGCTCCAAAGCCACAGAGAAACCCTTTCTTGGGAAAAAAAAAAAAAAAAAAAAAAAAAAGCCTGGGGTACAATCCCCAGCACCCACAAGGCAACTCCAGCTCCAAAGCACTGGGGTACAATTCCCAGCACCCACAAGGCAACTCCAGCTCCAGGAGATGCTGCACCCTCTTCTGGCAAAACACTCAATACACAAGAAATAAAGATGCATCTTTTTTTCCCCCACCCAAAAGCTAGAATGCTAAAGAAAGTTTAAAACTTAGAATACCGTAGCTCTAGGTCCTCAGAGAACCTCAGTGGTGAAGCATTCATCCCTCGAGAAGATGAAACAAGCAAACTACAGCCCAGAGACATCAAGATACTTATTTAGCAAGGACTCCAGAAGCCCCTCCCCTCAGCCAGGCCCATCTACTCTGAAGCACTATCGAAATACAGCACCCTGCCATGCAGCAAAGGGGTGGTGGGAGGCGCGGGGTGCATCCCCCTGGGAAGAGGTGCCAGTAAGCCCCCAAGGTTCAGGAGTGACCATAGCCCAACTAGCTTTTGAGGTGCCCCCACTTGGAGGCAGAGAGCTGAGGAAGATGAGGAGGCAGGTCCACCTGGGACAGCCGCAGGGCCTGGAGGCAAGGAAGAAACATGGCATTCGGGCAGGCTGTCAAGCATCTTACACTCTGTAACTGGTGTGGTGTGGCGAAGCGTCCTAACCTTGGAACACAGGCTACCAGACCCACCGGCCAATGTGAAGGCACTGGGAGGCTGCCCTAGTGTCCTTGGAACCATGCCCAGGGACTGTCCCTTTGTCCCTACAATCAGGAGCCCTAACTAAGAGGGGGGACACCAAAGGGCACCACAGTTGCACAACTGGCCAGCAACAGTCCCACAGCTTCTTTATCCAGACAGAATGAGAAGACCCTCCTGCTTTAGGCCAGGGGTCAACCTAAATAGGGGCTCAGGCAGAAAGGCTCTGAGAACACAACAGTGGTAGATGCAGCCAACTGAGAAACCACACAGCCTGCTCCTTGCCAACCTGGCCAAGTCCATCTCCAGGTGATCCTCAAAGTCCCCAAGACTGACTGACCAAGGCATACATATAAACATGGTCACTGGAAAACCAGCACATCACTTTAATGACACTTTAAAGGGTGGGTTCCAAGACCCTATTTCCCCACATCAGGAAAGACAAAGGCCAGCCCTCAGATCTCTGTGGCAGGAGGGAGGTTAGCCTTAAGATGATCCAGGTGACAACAGGACAAACACATTAGAGGCTGATTCCCAAGGAAGAGGCCAGAGGCAAGTGGGCCCCCAGCAAGGTCTCTGAGAACAGAGGATGCAGTGGGTTGGCATGGACACCATCACCCTGACTTGTCAGAAGCAGGGACACAGTGCCGGCAGCCCCTCACAGGCAGGTTTCCCAGTAAGATGCAGGGGACGCAGCTCTGGAGGCTGGGTCCCAGCATTCCATCTAGCATCTTTTGAACGACGGTCGCCATGAGAAAGCCCAAGTCCTGCAAAGACCTCATGTATGTGTGACAGCTGACATCCCCACGGGGGAGGAGCCTCAGCATTAACTCCAAGCCCAGCCAGTTACCTACAAATGGCAAGCCACAAGAGTCCCAGTGAACCACAAGAAGTATGAGAGGCCAGAACAAACGAATACTTAAAGAGCAAGACTCAAGAGAAAGGACCCACATCCACACCCAGGCAAGGGTCCCTGTGCCCCTGGTGCCCCAGCCTCACCCTTCCACTGTAGCAGCAGCTAGGCCATCCTGAGAGACGGGTTCAGCCTGTCTCCACCCACATGGAGCTAGAACATGGGACAACAAATTGATGGGGGCTCAACCAAGACAGAGGAATGAAGAAAACAAGGTGGAGGCTGGGAAGCTGGGGTCAGAGACGGGACAACTGGCAGGCAGCTCCATGGGAATTCAGAGAACTAGAAAGAAACCCAGGGGGTAGGTGGTCTCATGAGGACCACAGTGGGTAGGCACAGTGAAAAGATGTAGCGAGACCAGCCACCTGTGAGACACACGCTAACCAAGCAGCTGACAACCAAGGACTGCAAGATGCCCACTTTCAAGAGTTAAAAATATATGAACCCCGCCACAGGAGCAGAAGACACATCAGGATCCCACCGACCCTCTCAGCTACGGGAAGATACTACCCGGCTCCCTCAGAGAGGAAACTGAGGCCGGCACCTTCTGAATCCTAGACTCCAGGACAGGATGTAGGCACAGTCTGGGAAGTCTCCACCCAAGCCACCCAGGGCAGAGCAGCCTCCCCGGAGCCCAGGAGCCACCACTCAGCCACCATGCCCGAAAGCATGCCCGTCTTGTTTCATTAGGAGCCCGAAAGAGCCCTCCGGATCGAGCAGCCAGGAAGACACCACGGGGCCCCCGGAGCACGGCCCTGTGGCCCACGCGCGGGCCTGTTGCTACCCCAGCGGCCCCACTCGCGCACCGTGCTGAGTTCCAGTCCCGCAGTGGCGGGTTCGCG